ATCCTCTTGTTACGAAGAGTTATTGAGGATAGATCTCTAGATGAGTAGTTTAGCGAGGCATTTAACCGAGCTCTTGATTGCTCGTTAAGTGTATTGAGAACTGGAATTGATCGACCCTGATACCCTAGCTCCTTTATCATAAATTGAGTTTGAGTATTGAGTTGTGAACTCGTGATTCCTAGTTTTGTCTAGCCTTTTCAAGTACTCGCTTTTCAATTAGTAGTCGATAAACAAACCTCCAAACTTGATTTAGAATGTTTAGGATTTTCACTTCTTTTATTTTCCAATTTTGTGTTTGAATAATCGTACAAAATAATCCGGCTGACCTTCCTCGAGAGACACGACCCGGCGTCGAATCTTTTGATTCTACTCCGGTAAAAATAATTACAACATAATGGATGCCTTTTGATGTTGCTTTGTAAAAACAATTTTCTGTAGGTGACACTTTGAAAGAACAATTTCATAAGGGTGCAATGGATAGACACTATGCTAAAGGACATAAATCGCAACTAAGGAATATGAAGAAAAGGAAATCAACAAATCGTGAAAATCCAGTGCAAGGTAATACCAACAACAATTAACTATTGATTTTTATGTAATAATTTAGAGTACTATGAGGATACTACAGTATAAGATTAGTGTGATTTAACATACCTTTGTTGTAGTAAACTTCACCCCAGTTTTGTAAAAAAGCAAATAGCGTCAAAGTATTTCCCATCCTCATCTTCTTTCAGCCTCCATCACTCCTAACAACAATAAACATGAAATGAACACTTGACAATTTTTACATAGTTTCAGCCAATAAACAGTTGAATACACTATATTTTCCCAGAACGAGTACACATTCCAAATATGCTTACACAATAAATGTTGGTTTGAATCAATTATGCTATATCCCAAATTAACTAAAAAAAAAATTATGCACAAATTCAATAATATAAATTTTCAGTTTATATTATGTAATCTATAAATTTTGTCTAGATCGACATAAAAACTAGGTGAAACTTAAGCTATCCAACCAAAGCACACACTAAGACACATTCAATATATGCAAAAACTTAAGCTATACAACAAAGCACAAAAATCCAAAAGATCTAAAAATTTAAGCACATAAAATAAACAACAATTATATCTTTTTTTTCCTTAATCGACCTGGTGACCGAGCGCCGGGATACAATGCCCAGAAATGAGAAGTTGGAACTGGCGGCTTCTGTCTGCTCAGGTGGAGGAGTCCAATGAAGTGGCAAGCTGGTTCAGCATTTGACTAATGTCCGAACGACTCCATGCTATTGTGATGGCTTGATTTTCTTCTTCTCGACTCCTTTTTTATGCTGAAAGCTCTTCAATTTACCTGCAAACATGAAAACTATGCAACAGAAATCCTTCTAATTTATTCCCAAAAGACCTAGCTCCAGAAGGGAGCCAAGTGCAATTTAATGATCTTATGTTATTATACTATCATATACACCTCAATAACTTTCTCACATCATCCTTTAGTTGCATCTTCGTGGCCATAAAATCTCTGTTAATAAAACAAAAAACATCAGTAACAATCACTGTAATGAAAAGCCTCCTCAGAGTATCCCTTAAAAACAATTCCAGGATCCTTTATACCATTGGGTGTTTCATCTTAATATCGAGAATGACACCAAATGTAGAACAAGACCTCAACAAAAAACAGCAGTGAATAGTAATTCACCTTTCCATTTTGGTTAAGTTATCTTCCAAAAGCTTCAGCACAAACCTGGTCTGGAGTAGGTGTAATACCCCGCTTATCAGAGTAAATTTTTCGCAACTTTTACTTCGAATATACTTAATTCTTTCGAAATCTTTTGCGACTAACTCGGGATGCTACTCAAACTCATCATCTTGAAAATCCGTTTATCTTTAAACTTTTGTCTAATACTTCTTTATACATAATTAAAACAGATTTCCTTTAAACTTGCATTTAAAATACCATAATCATATTTCTCATAATGGTAAAAACTTGAAATATGAAATTCATTAAAATGCAAGTTCAATACTTAATGTGCATAGCGGAAATACTTGAAAACGTGGTTAATTATACAGACTGTTATAAATGTCCGTATCAAAGCTTGTCTTCATCTGAGTCCACTATCCACACCAACACTGCTCCACTCACACCTCCTCTTCGACCTGTTACCTGAAACTAAAACTCATGGGGGTGAGTAAAGAATATGGATAATCATAAACCGATATCTGATCGGTAACTTAAACTTTTCTCTTATCTTGCCGATAGTTAATCGGATACGTGTGCACACTCTGATGGATATTTCTAAGGCACCTAACGGCCTCCATCAGAACTTAGGATATATTCTCTGAGAACAGATTAATGCCTCCTCATCCCAAGCGCAATAAACTTAAACTTTAGGATATACTCTGAGACAACTGATGGTCTCCTCATCCCATATGACATCAATATCGTACTCAACATGATACCCATTCAGGGTCCCCACCTTTTTGTCTTTGAAATCATTTGAAAAACGATAAGTGCTGTACTGGTACTGTATCTGCAAGTTACATCAAATATAGACAAATATACTAAGTACTATGCTCATATACTCAATAAGATTTTTAGGATTTTTAACTTATCCAAATCTTATAGTAATTCATTAAACTTGCTTTTTCTCAAGTTTATACTTAACTTCTCTTTTTATTTATACTTAAGGTCAACTACTTAACCTTGTATAAATCATGTCTTCATAAACATTAATATGGTATTATACTTAGCATGTCATAACTCAAATGTGAAAATAACTATTTTTCACATTATACTTGATTTAAACTTAAAATATGCTTACTTTTACCAACATCATCAACATGATTTATAAACTTATCTTAACTTAATTTGATCTTTTACTCAATCAAATACTTAATTCATCATTCATCATATCTCCAAATTGGCTTATACTAAATTTTCACTTAATTAACTTGAAAGTGAAAATAATCTCAAGCCATATCATCTTTTACTCATAACATTTAATCATGATGTTAATATATAATACATAATACAATCTTTATAAAATTGTATACTCAACATATTACACCAAAACATCATCAAATTACTCATCACTTATATGAGAATTATTCATGATCATCTCATTTTAACAACTTGAACATTTCATGAATATTCTTGCATATATATACTTATCTTTATATATATGCCTTCTTATATTCATAACTTATTCATTTCTCATCTTTATATTATGAAACTTAACAGTCATAATTTCAACTTGTAATTAGACATGTCCTCAAAATTTCATAATTTTATCATGCATATTCATCAAGTTATGAGAATTTAAATTTAATAGTGAACATAAACTTCATCTTACATGTTCATCTTTAAAAATTCATAACTCAAGCTATATTTTGCCAAATCTCTTAATTCTTGTTTTCATGTACTCCTCTTTTACATAATAATCATTCATTTAAATCATACTCTTCCAGCTTATTCATATCTTTATCCACATCTCATCAAATCAAGTACATATATCATATAATTGATCTTGAACAACTTTAACTCTTTATATTCATAGAATCAATTATAAACTTAACTTCTATATCATGATATACATACTTATACATATATAAACTTATTATCAAAACATGAACTTAAGCATGTAACTTTAAGATAAGTAAATTACCTCCTTCTTGCTAGAATAAAAACTTCATTCTTTACTTCAAATTCTTCACTTCTCCAAAGTTTCTACTACTTATCTCTCTTACACTCTTATATAACTTTTGGTACTTAACTTTGGTGCATAAACTCTGATTTTTAGGCCTCTATTTATAGGCACAATTTGCAAGACATCATAATTGAGTGAAGAAAATAACAAAATAAACAATACAAACTTGTAAAAATAAATATAGATAATAAATAGTATTCTTAACTTGTAAACTTCTCCAACCCATAGTCAATGCTTAGAAAGGCCCCTCTTCTGATCCTAATCTGATCTCAATGATTAAATTCAAGATTTAGTGAAAATTCTCCAATTTACGGAACCAAATTCTGACTTAAAACGAACAGTTACCGTAAAATCGAAAATTCTTACAATTTTCGAATTTCCTTCTTTTCTTTTGGCATTTTTCCTTTTTATGCTGAAAAATTTTCTTATCTTGTAGTCTACTAAAAATATAGAGAGAAACTAATTTAATTTATTTTTCGGAACTGAAATCGGACATATATTACGACTACAATCGAAAACCGAAAAAACGAAAATTCTAAAAATTTCATATTTCTCTCTAATAATTTAAATAGACTAAAATGTCTAAATAAATTTTCTCACTTCTTTGAACATTTATAACTTAAATGTTCATGGATACTTAACCGAACTCAAGACTTAACTTGTCTCGACTCATTATTCTTTTTCTTTCTCATTCAAACTAGAAATGGCCAAATTTACATCCATTTAGCTAAATAAAATGGAATGTTACTTGAACTTGAACTTCATCTTAAATAACTTATTTCAATTCAATAAACATTAATGTCTAATTAATCCTTATAACTTGATCAATACTCAAAACTAAGCTAGGCTCGAGAATCATTTGCTCGGTAATAATCTTAACTCGTAACCGAACATGCTTGGTTCGGTTCACGACTTATCTTGAACGAGTAATCAAAATATACTCGATTTTTATTATTCGTCATCTTATTATAATTAATCCCATCTTATAAATCCATTTATAAAAATAAACAGACCGGAATTAATTAATTACTGAACTGGCTCGATTACTAAATAAAATTTAACCGAGAATACTTTCAACTTAAAGTCGAACTTTAACTGAATAACTTAATAACTGGGCTCGAAACTAGGAACGAGCATTATTAATAAAAGTAATTAGCTCAAACTTAGAACTAAAATAATTACTTTTATTAATTACTGAATGGGATATTACAGTAGGCGAGTCATCCGGTTTCTACCCGGGCGGGGGGATCCATTAAGGATCAGTTATCCCAGCTTCCTTCCTTATATTAACATGACCAGCACTCTCCAACCAATACTCCATGGCCCCATCATGGTTGTGCCGCCGTCTGAATCTCTCCTTGCCTCCCGGTGCAATGAAATGTAGTTATTTGGAGCCGTTCGGCAGCTTCCGATTTAAATTCAAATCAGAAAATCAAATCGCGAAAGCTAAAAGTAAAAAATTTAAAACATGAAATTACCTTTCATATCACTACACCATCGCGTAAACTGGCCTGATCTTTGTCGATACAAAGCTAGATCTGTAAATAACAGCTCAGTTTCACTGCGCTTGTGTTGAGATTGATTCAAAAATTCACCCTTGAAATCGTGAACATCTTCAAGAACGTTCAAAGGCGAAATAACGGATCTAGAAGGGGCTTAGATCGCTTTATTATTTAAAATCGGAAATCCTATACATTTTTTTATTTACTTTTTTTTTTTGAAATGGAAGATCATTTTCGAAAGCTACCAGACCAGAGGTGAGAATTTGAAAACCTACTCACCATCTCAATTCCATTTTTAGCCTTTATACCCATTTTAAATTAATCACAACCGTTTGTTTTAGTTGACTTAATGTAGGCCATTCGATGAATAATTATATTATTTAAAATGCTTTGGGCTGCCTTTATATAACTTGGGGATGAAAAAATACCTGAACCTAATTTTAGTATACATTATCAGGCCAGACTTGAGAAAAAACCAACAGCTCGTTTTGAAGGTATTATTCAACCCAATTTCTCAAATTAAAATAATTTATCTATTATATATTAAGTTATTATTATTAATAGCTAATATTTTGTTTAAATATATATCAAACACTATTTACTATAAAATTAAATATAAATTGTTCCCATGTAAATGTAAATTACAACTTGATGTAATAAGTTTGTTTTATTATAATACTAAAAACTTTTGTAAATTTATTAATTATTTATTTTGAATAGTTTAAAACTTTTAAAACAAAAATGCTAACTATATAGAATTTTTATAATTTAATAACAGATTACCAAAAATATATGTTTACTTACTAATTATATCCTTTCGTATTCATTTTTACAGGTTGTATGATGTCATCTGCTATTAGTGGATTGTCTTTTATTGCACAACAAAAAAAATAATAGATCGGGCTATGTTTCCTATCAATATCAGAGTGTGTTGCATACTCCTCATCGCCTACTATTATCTGATGTCACAAATGGTATATTGTTATTCAATTCATAGTTTAATTGCAAAAATATATATTAATTAGTTTTTAATCTATTAATAGTTTCTTAGTATTTAATTATAACTGGTAAATCATTTTTAAACTGCTTAATAATATCTTTTAAAAATTTGTTACATATTTATTTTTGGAAATGTCTATTCAACGTGAAAATTTTAGTATATAAGTCATTGTGTTTGAACAATAATTGTACATTTTTTTATTTGTATTATTCATTATTATTATTAATTGATTTTTGTTGTTACATATATAATCATAATCTTACTTTTATGTGATCGTTCTTGAACTTTTATAAATAATTTTGAATAGATGATATGGCAGAATCACAAATAGACCTATCTAAAAAATGGAATAACACGGTGTTATGTAGTGGAAGTAGAGGCATTGTACTCGACATCAAAAGTGATGAAGAAGATGAATTGACTATTCTTCCTCAGCCTGCATCCAAAAATTTAGATCATCGTGGTATGACTATATTGAATTAAACTTGATCGATTTATGTTTTGTTCATTTGCGAAACCTTAAAAAATATATAAATATGTGGCTTTTATATGTATATATTAACGAAATATATTCATTTATTTTTTAAACTTCAAAGGTCGTAGCAAACGTAGAAGAACAAGTGCATCGAGAAATAATACGTCTGAAGGTCGTAACATAAATTCAAACATTGTGATTGATCTTACTATTGATGATCCACCCGAACCTTCGGTTACAAAGAGAAAGCGTGGTCGACCAAAGAAATCCAATACAACAATAATACCAAGGATGTCTGGTATAATGCACTCATAGTCGCTTCTTGGTTATATTTTTTATAAATAAAAAATTAAATATATTCTGACCTATTGACTTAGTTTGATTTTCGCAGAATATTGGGATATGGGTGATGCGAGCTTTCGTTGCAAATATTGTGGATCGACATTTTGGTATATTGAAAGGAAATCGTCTACTAAAGTTGCAGTTGGTCCAGAGTACAGTGGTTGTTGCGTGAATGACATCGTAGACCTTCCTGTACTAAAGCAGCCACTTGATTTTTTGAACGAGCTGTTGCATGGGGATAGTAGAAAAAGTAAGCATTTTCAAGATAACATACAGTCATACAACATGTCTGGATTCACTTTGTTGGGTGGCAAAATTGTCTCGGATTTGAAGAAGCCGGTTTTCAGTCACGGCCAATTATACGTAGCTGTTTCCCGTGTCACTAATCGAAAGGGGTTGGAAATTTTAGTTTATAGTGAGGATGGTTTGGCAACAAAGCAAACAAAGAATGTTGTGTACAACAAGGTGTTTAAATTCACACAAATAATAAAAAAATATTGAGCAAATTGCCTAAAAACTGTTCACCCCATGCATCGCACGAGTTCCGTACTCGTAGATAGAGAAGGAAGAGAGAGAGAGAGAGAGAGAGAGAGAGAGAGAGAGAGAGGTTGCTACGGGACCTAAATATACAAATTAAATCTCTCGTATTTGTGATGAAAACTTTAGCACTTGGTAATCTATCTATCTACTATATAATTAGACAACACACTTACTAAATTTAGTAAGTTATTGGTGGGTCGTACAAGTTATTTCCATTTATAGAAAGTTCGTTACAGAAAATTAAAACCATAAAATATGTTAATTTGAAAATTTTCTTTTACTTGTACTCTTCAGTTATCATGTGATATTCTTATGTAAAATTGAACTAATTATTTTCATAAGTTATAGGGAAACAGTCGGATTATATCTCTTAAAAAAACTTCATATCGGTAAGTTTGTGCCGAGTCTATCGTGTTCAATTAAAATAAATTTACTGAGCATATTTTTTTAAAAATATGTTTTAGTTAACATTTTCTCAACTATATGTAATTTAAATGTGTAGTTTAAAAATATTTTATTGTACAAGTAATACTCATCAACTCTCCCTATGTGTCTATCTTACACACAAAAATGAATAAATAAATAAATAAATAACTTTATTATAACATAAGAAATTATCAAGACTATAAAATACTCTCATAATTTTATTAGCATAGAAAAAATTATAATATTAAATAATAATAATATTTTTTTACATATGTCAATAAATTGTTGGGCAGAATATTGTTATAACAAAAACATGCACACTTATAAAACTCTTTCATTAATGGGTATTAATGAAATAATATTTTAAGGATAATGTATGTGACTGCAATATATTATTTTTATTTCTATATATTTGTATTTATTAAATAAATTGCGGTTTTTATGGTTACTCCGAGCAAAAAAAGAACATATCATCGACATCATACCATTTTTTTCATAATAAAATATACAATATTTTAACATCGTGGAACTTATCAACTGTATTTAGTGGATAACTCTGCACGTATTTAGTGGCTAACGTGCGTAGTTGTTGAAAGTAATTAACTTGGTGGTTATTATAAAAATCACATTTTCCATAAAAAAAACATTCCCATATTCCTAAATGTAAACATGGACGAATGGTCAAAGTTTGAGTATTCAGGTATTTTTAAAAGCTCAATTTTGTGTATGGTGAATGCAATGATTATTTTTTATTTAATTTACATAAATAAGTTAACATATTGTCTCTTATATTAATCTATATATATGTAAAAAGGTTGATGTAAAAATCATTTTTTAGAAATCTAAAAATAATTTAGTTGACTTTTGACTTTCTATTTATGTATTCTACTTTAAAATCGGAAGAAAAATCGTGAAAATACAGTGGATATTTCGTTAATTTAGCATGAAATTTGCGTTAATTAAGCAAATGGATATTCTCCTTAATAATGGTGATATTTTCATTAATTAAGCATGTGAAATTGATTGTCATGGGACTTACTATCTATCCAAATACAATCCATAACTATCTTATCACTTTTGGTTAATAAAAAATATGTGAAATTGATTGTCCGTTGCAAAAATCATGGGACTTACTATCTATCCAAATACAATCCATAATTATCTTATCACTTTTGGTTAATAAAAAATTGTATAAAAGGATATTCACTACCACCATTACAACTCATCATTCACGAGTTCAGAGAAAAAAAAATACAGAGAATAATTTTTCATCGCATATACAATGCTTCCAGGCTTTTCATCGCATGTACAATATAATGCTTCCAGGCTGGAGTACACTTGATTCCGTTAACAGAAGAAACAAACGTTTTTTTGCGTCTGAGAGCACCCGCATTATTGAAACCCATCACGAACGGGAGAGCTATAACGCATTCCATATACTGTTTCATGATGAACAGGTAATATTTACCTTTGTTATTTCAATTTTATATAATTTAGAAAATTATTTTAATTAATATTTATAAATTTGTATCGTAGGGTGCTTTCATTAAATGCATAATACGTTATCCGAATATGAGAGCAACAAACTTTATATAAACTGAGAGCAGTCTAATTTTTGTAAAATATGTAAACTTTAAACGTGGTTTTATATATAAAATTGTATATACTTTTAAACATGTTAGTTGGGCAAACTTTAAGGATATATATATGTGTGTCTATGCTAACTTTAAGTATATATATTTTTCTTATAAAATAGTCTAGACAGAATTGAGGTAATTTCACATTTTTCGATAATAATATAAAATATTTTAATACTTTCACATATGTTATATAATAGTCTACGTATTCTTAATGTCTTTTGGTTGTAACATTGTTAACACATATAATATTAGATACTTTTATACATATTTAGATAATTTTTTTACTCATTCTTTAATATCTATGTGCATAAAAACAGAATAAGATTTATAAAAGATTTTCCGACAATATACTAAATGTTAGATAAAAAATCTCATTTTATTTGTTATATAATATTTTGAGTTGCATTAATTTTGATTTGTATGTGTAAACTTGATAAATTAAGCGTATGAAAAGGAGCGTACGAATTACTGTAAGGATTTAAAAAATAAAAAATAAATCTAATTTTTTAATATTTTCTACTAACTTCTAAACGAATTTATGTCATAATTCGTCATAATTTTCCCACATCATGTCAATATTAATTTTATATATACTAGGCAAAAGATAAATCATTATCTCAATATTTATTCTATATATTCTAAGTAAATCTTTTCATCTATCTCAACGGTCCGCATGTAGTATTTCATACTTTTCTATTCATAATCAAATATATCAAAGCTTCACAAATTTTACTTCACAAAGAAAGTGTTCAATAATTTATATTTTTTTCCCTTCTTTGCAATCCATTTATTTTTGTTACATATATATAAATTATATTATTTTTAATATTTCACACGTTAAACATTTCAGGAAAATATATCATCCCGTGCATCGCACGGGCTACGCGCTAGTTGTTGTTTAGGGATATGCATATGCTGGAGAAAATTGTATTCTCGAGGAAGAGCGTTGTTTGGTTTAGGTATGCATCTATCAAGAAAAATCATGGACTCATTTAATGGTATTCCGATAGGATTGTTTTCTATTTGTTTCTAATTTTTGTAATTAAATTAATTTTAAGTTAAATACATAGAAATGAATTTATGTAATGCTTTTATAAATTAAATTGTATTATCTATATATATTGAAAAAGAGAGGTCAATAAATCATTTTGGGAAAATTTTAAAAAATTCGTAGTCAACCATATTGACTTACCCATTTTGGCAAGTCTTTAACGTGTGGAATTCAAATTTTTGATACATATTCACGTGAGCAATTTTTTGCAATTTTTTATACAAATTCACGTGGCATACTTTTAGGTTGATTTCGAGATAATTGCTATCAAAATCTCCTAATTTATCTCTATTAGTTATGCAACCGCGTTTAAAAAGATTTTACCCTTATTTAACAGGTGGATTTCGAGATAATTGCTATCAAAATCTCCTAATTTTTCTCTATTAGTTATGCAACCACGTTTAAAAAGCTTTTACCCTTATTTAACAGATTCTTATCAGTTGGTTATATACTAACAATATCCTCCCACAATTTCGGTAGAGATAAACATGTACAGTGTATAAAAGGGTAGTCATTGATACCCTTTTTCATTCACCTCATCAAACGCCCAACACACTCATAATACAAAAATAAGAGAAAACATCATGACACCATATTTTGAAAACATTCACGCTGTCAACATATCCAACAAGCCTTTTTTGAGGTTGAGAGTAATCCGTTTGATTGAAACTCATGACGATCTGGAGCATCGGAATGCTATTCATATCCTGTTTCATGATCAACAGGTAATTAATCGAATTGTTTTATTAATACATAACTACATGTAAAACTACTATTAGCTTCATATCATGTTTCAATATTTTTTTTAATTTATATTAATTACAAATTGTAGGGTTCATACATCACTGGAATAGTTCGTTCGCCGATCGTGGGATTATATAGAGATCTCCTTAAAGAGGGCGATGTGTACGGAATTCGCAATTATAATGTTGAATATAATAGGGGGAGGTACAATGCAATAACCCACCATTGGAAGCTTGTGCTTAATGGAAGAACTGATGTATGCAAGTACAATGCGAATTTTCCTCAATACAATTTTCCTCAACACTAGCGAGTGACAGATGCGGCATGCGAATTTTCCTCAATACAATTTTCCTCAACACACTCATCAAATTATTTTTATATGTATTTTGATTTCAAATTCCCAATTATAAGGTTTGGTGAGATTTATTATGTTTAATTTATTCCGATTGTGAATTAATTTTTCGGCAAATTTGATTCCATTTTATTATGTTTTCTGTCCTATAAAAATGTCGGGTACATCTTTATTATACACTAATTATCAATATTGTAGTTGG